TAAAATTGCCTATCAAAAATTAAGGTTTGGATCTTCGTATTTGTATAACATGCTATCAATTTTAAAAATTCAATTCTCTTAATACAAATCAAATTAAGCAATGATTCATTCTTGCATAGAACTATAATTTAGAATAAAAAATCAATCAAAAAGGTTACTAGAAAATGGAGATTCGGAAGCCTAAATTTGTTGCAACTTGCATTTTTTACAGCAATCTTAAATATTCAAAAAATTCATAACTTCATCAATTTAGTAGTTACAGAAAATTTATTATATACAGACTATAACTACACATTATTGTTGGCCAGAATTTGACCATAAAAATCAAAATACAGCCGGAATATTACTGCTGCACAATTTGTGTTTTTCTGAAATCCTAAATCTTTAAAAATTTATAACTTTCTCAATTCTCATCCACATCATGTAATCTTGGTATTTATGGAAAATTTATGGTGTCTGAATTATAAATTAAATAGTTTGATAGCCAAAAGTATGCCAAAAAATGAAAAACACGGCTGAAATCCTATGCTGCACTATTCCTGGTTTATCTGCAGTTTTCAATTTAAAAAATTCATAACTTCTTTAATTCTAATCCAAATTGTGCAATTTTAGTATCTATCGAAAGGTTATGAAATTTAAATTGTAGACAAAATAGGTTGTAGCAAAAAGTTTGCTGAAGAAAAGAACAAACTCGCTGGAAATGCTTTTTACAAATCTCTACTTTTTTTTTCGTTTTCTACCTATCTAATATGCATAAATATGATATGAACTTCTCTTCTTAGGGTTCTTTTAGACTCTTTTAGTTAAAAGCTAACAGTTAACTCATATATACATATATATATATATATGCATACATTTATAGGGTGGATATTTCTATAATTAAAAAAGATATTCCTAATAACTTATACTAAATTCTAAAGTAGTTCATAAGTTTTATTAGATAATAGTATAACTTCTCTTGGGCCCATAATCAAGTCATAGTACTTTCCTGGGTTGGGTATTACAATATTCCTACTGGATCATAGGTTCATGCTGTTCAGCCATTATAACAGTTCTCTCCCTGATTAAGAGTGCCTGATTGAGTACATTCGTTAAGATCTGTGCTTGGCTGATATTTCAGAACTACTTGGGCACTCATGTCTTTTTAATCTTCGTATTAATATAGCCATTTCAAGTTGCAACTACCTAGAATAAGGAGCCATTTAAGATGATGAACTTAATCTCATAATCCTTTAGAAAACGGAAGTTGAATTAATTCATATTTTTCCTTGGATATCTGGAACATTAAATTATTTTTCACAATATTACATGTTGCTTCCTGATAAAAATTTCAGTTCTATTGTTCCGGCTGCTTGCATTTTCATGTATCACTGCTTCATGATTATTTTCTTAATTTGGTAGGTTGTTGCCTCTTAAAACATATGAAATCATTGATGTACATGTCAAATGATAAATCTTTAGGACTTTCTTATTTTCCTTGAAGGATCTTGATGACATAGTGGAGGCAGCTCTTCTGTTTTATGGGGAGAAGAAGCTTTTGGACAACACACCAATTCCAATCAGTCTGGAGAAAGATAATGATCCTCGCTTGTTGACTTCTCCTTTGAAGTTCCCTGGCAAACTGGCAATTGACATCCTTAATAACCGGCTGTTCATTTCAGATAGTAACCATAACCGCATTGTAGGTTCTGTCTAACTTTTGCTCTACCCTCCCTGATACTCATGGGCTTCAGTTGTAAACTTTCTGCATTTTCTTGAAATGAAAATGAATGGAAAAATGCTGCATGTTGTTTTGCACTTTCTATAAAGTCACCGGTATCAGTCAAATATCCCAATAGTGGTTTCCTAGAACAGAACCACAGCACAGCCTTTTTTATATCCTTATTCCTATAATTTTAATTTGACATGTATTTATCGTGAATTTAGACGATATGTTAAAATATAACTGTTTATATATATATGTCCACAGAAATCATTCCCTACAAGAAAAGCATTGAGTACAGATGAGAAAAAGGAATGTGTTTAAAAAGGAAAGAATGCATGTGTGTGTGTCTCTCTGTGTGTGGGAATATGGCATATGCACCTAAACATAGAAAGATTTTTTTACAGCTGCTTTATGGTTTCTAAGCTTATCCCTGCTATGCAACCTTAAGCTGAAAAATCAATGCTTACTTGGTTCTTTTTCTTTTCTCACATGTATGACATGCATATATAAACGTGTGATGACATATGTGGACAGTCCTTTAATCATCTTGTCACATTTGAAGTTCAGGTTGTTACTGATCTAGATGGGAATTTTATCGCCCAAATTGGGAGCACTGGAGAGGAGGGTCTCCGTGATGGTTCCTTTGGTGATGCCACATTCAATCATCCTCAGGTTGTATTAAATTAAAATCTCTTGATGTATGTTTAGCTACTGCTTTGGCTCTATACTTTTAGAAACTTGAGCATCTACTGCTACAAGCTTTTACACCTCATTTTTATGTCGCTTCTTCTGTGATTTTCTCTTTATAAAGGGCCTGGCTTACAATGCGAAAAAGAATCTCCTCTATGTTGCAGATACTGAAAATCATGCTTTGAGGTAGGTGGTTTATTCGTTTGATATTCAGTAATCAAATGGCTGAAAAAGAAGGTTATAAATATTCTTCTTTTCCACCTCTCACTTGTTCCCCTTAGATACAACTATGCATGGGTTGAATCCCAATCTATTATTCTGGAAATTGGTTTCTAAACTATGAACATGTACTGTAGGGAGATTGATTTTGTTGATGAGACAGTCCGGACGCTTGCTGGAAATGGAACAAAAGGCTCTGACTATAAAGGTGGAGAGAAAGGAACCTCTCAGGCAAGATGGAATCAATGCATTATCCAGGATTTTATTGCATCCTTGATTCATATAAAGCATGGTCATGTACATACTAGAGCTTCATTAAATTGGATGTTGGTTGTATTTGTATCTTTAGGAGTACCCAAATTACTCCCTGTAATATCTAAAGTACCTTAACTCCAATTAGATTTCCTGGACTTAAATTCACATTCATTTTTTTTCAGCTTCTCAACTCTCCATGGGATGTCTGCTATGAACCTGTCAGTCAGAAAGTTTACATTGCAATGGCTGGCCAACATCAGATCTGGGAACACAACACTCTTGATGGAGTTACAAGAGCTTTTAGTGGTGATGGCTATGAAAAGAACTTGAATGGATCAAAGTAATATATTGGATTTTCTTTCAGGTGGAAATTACTATTTTCAGACACCTAAAAATTCAACATTGATGTTCATTTCTGTTTTCTCATTGAAGCTCCACAAGCACATCATTTGCACAACCTTCTGGAATTTCACTAAGTTCTGGTAATGTTTTGGATAAGTTTGACTGCTTTTGATCCTCAACTAGTATTGAAAATGCCTTATGTATACTGGAAGTTTCCTTTGATGGGAGTTTCATTGGAATGTTGCATATAGATTTGACGGAGCTCTATATTGCTGATAGTGAGAGTAGCTCCATTCGGGCAGTTGATCTTAAAACAGGAGGATCAAGATTGCTAGTTGGTGGTGACCCAATTTTCCCCGAAAATTTGTTTAAGGTCATGTTAATTTTGAATTATGAGGGCGGGTTTATAACAGGCAGATTCTAAGTTTCATAATGTGGATGTTTGAATTTGCAGTTTGGGGATCACGATGGTGTGGGATCTGAAGTACTTCTTCAACATCCACTGGGTGTCTTATGTGCTAGAGATGGCCAAGTTTATATAGCTGATAGCTATAATCACAAGGTTGTTACTCAATAACAATATTATAGGATTCTTAACAGCTATAGTCTGCAGCTTACACATTTATGCACGCTGGAAACTAGAGGTAGCATGTTGGAGTTCGAGTGAAGTCTAACCTTACAATTGTGATGTTAGGATTTCAACTTATGACACTCTTATAGGGAACGTGCTTAACCAATCAATTTATTATTCTCTGTTGTCCCTCAATTAGTTGTTATTTTCGGAACATGAGAGAAAACCATGAGGAAAGCTATTTGTAAATCTTTCCTGCCATGTATTTCAATCCTGAAGTTCTGAATGTCACATGTCATGGTGTCAGTATTAAATTGCATTTCTGAAGCGTTCAAAAAATTCTATACTGATTGGAGGCTTTCTTTCCCTGAATTTCAGATCAAGAAGCTAGATCCAGCCAGTAAAAGAGTTAGTACTGTAGCAGGGACTGGGAAAGCTGGTTTTAAGGATGGAACAGCTTTGACAGCTCAGGTTGGACTTGGAGGATAACAGATATCCTCAAAAACCACACTGTGATTGCTAAGTATCATAAACATTTATCTCTTTTATTTTTAATTTATTCGTCTTTCTGATATATGGAAAATCAGATTCCCCTAGTTATAGGAGCATTTCCCTTTTGCTAGACTGTTGTGCTACTTAGTAGGTAAGTTTAATATGAATTGGTTTCTGATGTAGGTAGAAAATCTTACAATGACACCTGGAAACTTGTTCATAGACTTTAATCACTAGAATTAGATCATGTAAATGTATTCCCTTCTTTAATCTCATATTTAGAGCACTTCCAATCATTTTTAATGTTTACTTTGCAGCTTTCAGAGCCCGCAGGAATTGTTGATGCAGGAAATGGTATCATCAATTCTTTTTTATTTTTTAGAAGTTTATCTGTCCAACTAGGATGCAATTATGAAATATTATCTGATGTTTGTTGAGATTCCAACGCTTCCTTTTTCTTATTCTCTGCTGAGGGAACTGTATGATGGTCCATTTCATGATTCTATTTGCTAACCATTGATGTTTTGGTTTTGGAGAGTGTAGTTAAGAGTTAAATATTGGGAGTTTTCCTCTTTTGAGGAACTAGGCGTTGAGAACTTGAATCATAAGGGGAACATATCTTTTCCCAGTTCCTCTTTGATTGCCATCTATATTAAAGCTTTATAACTAATCTCATGATAAATGGTTGCACCCAATATCTCTAAATCACAACCCAGAATTGGATTTCATGATTCATCAAATGAACTTTAATATGCTATTTAACTCTATTATTATTTCTCAACCCTTGACCCTAATATTATTGTTTGATGCCTCTATTTTTATCTTCAGGAAGATTCTTCATTGCTGATACAAACAACAACGTTATCAGATATTTAGATCTGAACAAGGAAGAAGTTGAACTTCTTACACTGGAGCTGAAAGGAGTTCAGCCTCCGACTCCAATGTCCAGATCTTTGAAACGTCTCAGGAGACGGTCATCTGCTGACACACAGACCATTGTTGTTAATGGTGGTTCCTCCAGTGAGGGCAACATGTCTATCGAAATATCCTTACCTGAAACTTACCATTTTTCCAAGGTCTTGCTTCTCTCTCCCCCGTGCACATGCACAATCCTGTGATTAAAAAAAAAAAAAAAAATCTTCTTGGAATTCTGACCTTCAGTAATATAGCTTTGCTTTTCTCTTCTGCACTATTGTCACATTTCACAGCAGCATAATCATTGGGGGATTTATGCTTATAGTTTATCTTTATTCATATTTTGTGTCATAATTACAATTGCAGGAGGCAACTAGCAAATTCAGTGTCGATGTAGATCCTGAAAATGCAGTATTTATTGATCCCCTAGATGGAAACCTAAGTCCGCAAGGATCAGCAGTTCTTCATTTTAGGAGATCTTCACCCTCAGTTGCAGTAGGGAGAATTAATTGCAAGGTTTGGTTCTATTTGGATTATATGGTTCATCTGGAATCCAGGACAAGTAAATTATCTGAAAAACAAATGATTGCAAGAAATACAAAACTACGCACTTTATGGTAATAGAAACCAGGCGATTTTGAATTGCCAATAGATGTGTTGAAGGCTGTGGCCTCTCCACATAATTATTGACTGCCTAAACAATGTTTAGCAGTCACTATTTCAATTGAGTTGCTGGCTATTTGAATTTGCCAGGCTTGGAAAATGATTAATATTGCAATTAACAATTTTCCATTATTAGAGAGCTGAATATTTTGAGTGTTAAGAGCTTTCAGCTGAAGTACATGAAACTCACTCATTCTGCAGGTTTACTATTGTAAAGAAGATGAGGTCTGTTTGTACCAATCACTTGTGTTTGAGGTATCCTTCCAAGAGGAAATTCGGGACTCTACACTTGGGGAAATCAAACTTGCTTACTTGGTGAAGCCCAAAGCTTCTGCAGGGAGTTTACAGCTACCTGCTGCGCGCTGACAATACTACCCTTCTAAAGCATTTGTAAGATCCCGCTCTATGTACATCTATAGTTTTTTGTTCTTTATTTTTAAAGAAATTTATATATACCATGAAAGCATTATACTGAATTTATATGAATCATATCCTTCTTCTACCGACCCTCCCCCAGGGAGAAAAACAGAGTATTCTTGATATATGGGTAATAGGCAGTCTACGGTTTAACTTCTGAGAATAACGGCCAACTCTAAGTGAATAACAGATAACAACTAGCTAAAGAGAATAACGAATTACCCGAAGTAGTTCCTAAAGATTAGTGAAGAAAAGAGATATAAATACCTTGTAACGGTTCAGATGACGTACGAATGATCAAGAACCGACCTTCTTTCTTTCGTGTATTCTCTCTCTCTCTTTATGCGTCGTCTTGCTTTCTTTTGTCGATCTCTGTCTCTCTCTGTAATTTCCATGCAATAATTATTTTTCAAGAAAAGTGACCGTTAATTAAATGTTTTTACTTGTGCGGACGAGGTTACGATGGTCTTACTGCGTCCTAAGATAACATGTAAAACATGAGAGAGGGAAAAAGAAAAAAGTTTGATCCAAGTACGTATACATACACACAGACACTATTGCATGATCCAAAACTTAATAGAAGCGACTCTGCTGCTATATTAATCCACTCAACAAACATATAAACCACATCCTAGGCCCATATGCCCTATATTTTCTTTCTTATCATGAATGCAATTGTTAAGGAAACCATTTTCATCATCTTGTTCCTTAACTGCCTTTTGTTAGCTTTTATTAGTATTCTTGTTTATGTTAATTTAATCTCCGTCTTAATCATTATTATTTATAGAGTAAGCAAGAAGATGGATTGTTAGCCAAGGCATGGCCCTCAGTGCGTGCGCACTCTGGGTTTTGTTTATATTTCATGCGGAGAACTTATTAGCTCCCTTAGTGCCTGGCAAAGATTAGATCAATATTATATATAATAAACAAAAACAAACAGCCTTAATTGTGAAGCTTTAATCAAATCACGTTGACGGCGATGTCTTCGTTTAACTCATTTATTTATGTATTTTAGATACGTAGTCTATGTGTATATTATAATACCAGAGGGTTGACAGCGTAAAACGCGTCAGTTCTACCAAATCTCATCTTTATCTTATCATCAACCCTTCAATTATATAGTGTGAAAATAGCTTTAATTAATCAAATTTGTAATTTTTGAAGATGGGTATTTCATATAATTGCTCTTCGTGCAAGATTCAAGCCGGATATATATATGACATGTATGTATTCAGGAGTAGAACTCATCGAAGCTATAGTTCACTGGATAAGGAGGGTTTCTCCTTCCTTACATTTGCTCATTTGGGTTGTGTTCATCGTGTTAATGAGCATTGGTGGAGTAAATTTAAAAGGGTATTTTCCTAAAACTGTGTAGATGTGGGAAAATATACAAAAATAAGAGAGTAATCAGCCAAATCATTAGAAATCTCAGTCCGTGACAGATGAAATAAACGTATATGATTTTGCTAGTCAATTCAAGCTTAACAGATGATTATTAAGTAATTAGAGAGAAGAGAAGATCATGCATGTGTTATATTATAATTGAAAATCCCATCTGGGGGAGCCAGGCACCGAAACCAAAGGGGTTTTTATTTGTTTAAATAATCTTATGGTTTAGTTGTGAGGTTCCATCAATTAGTTTAATTAGGAGAACAAAACCCAATTGGCTTGTGTAGAGGAAGTAGTTCAAGAGATAATAAAAGGGATAAGGAGGAATATTGAGTGGTGGCTCCACAGGTTTATATCACTTAAGTTGACTCATTAATCTTTCTAAACTTTGTCACGCTTTGTCTTGTGAAAGTTGGGTGGAGATACAAAATAATAAAGGATTGTTGTAAGATTGGGAGGGAACTTACACACACCCATCAGTCAAAATGCAATAGTAGTTGGAGTGAGATTGAGATTAGGTTTGAAAATTTTGAGAAGCACATGGAGATGAGTGAAATGAGTATCCTGTTCAAGATAAGCTTCAAATCAGAAATATAAAGAAACAAAATTGAAGACACATCAAACTTTGGGTTAAGTAAAAGAAACAAAGAAGGGGAACAAAAGAGAAAGCAAGTATCATCATTTGAGGCAACACTACTCTCTCTCTCTCTCTCTCTCTCTCTCTCTCTCTCTCTCTCTCTCTCTCTCTGTCTGCATATCTATATATATATATATATATACATATTGAAAAGATAAAATGTCAAGAAACTGATTGTAATAATTGATAAAATTCAGAAACAAATTGGAAAGGAATCAAAGGTAGAGGAATATTTTTACAATTAAGTCTAATATAATTATATGTACAGGTGAAAAAATATATATATATATAGAGTAAAAGATGTTATCTAAAGTAAAATGGTTTATATATATATATATATATATATTTGTGTGTGTGTGTGTGTGTACACCAACTTGGATATGTGTATGAGGAATTAAAATTTTAAATTTAATGGATTGAGTTCCCTTGATGACATTGAATCTTGTCTCATGCAAGGAGGCAAGCTTTCTGGCATGTCATTGGTAAATGGGGATCATCTGATTCTCTTGAGATCTTCGCCCTTTCCAGCCTATAAAAACCATCAATGTATTCATTCATACATACATACATACATACATACATACATATATATATGTATAAATATATAAACATACCCATCACTTTCCTAACTCGGCTAACTATCTAATTCTTTAATCCTCAACTTGTAGTAAATTCCAGTGATCGGGCATGATACTGCAAATGGTAATCCTGTAAACTTGATGCCAAAACCCTGGGCATTATGCATATACATGTTGTTTTTAGCAACCATCGCAGACACTCTTCCACGATTTGCACATTACTTTAAAGCTATACGTATATTGTTCTTGGTACATATATTAGTTAATGGGATTTATTAGGATAAGGAAACCGAATAAAAAAAGAAGAAGACGACAAAGAATATTACAAGAAGAGGGAGAAGAAGAAACAAAAAGAAAAGGAAAGAAAAAAGTGGTGGAGAAAGACAGAGGCAGGCTATGGGTGTGTCCGCACTACATATATATACATAAATAAAGACAGACCCAAATTTCATTTTCATTTTTATGCCTACTTATATATTTACATACACTTTCTCAACATACCCTCTTCTTCTTTATACTTTCTCAACATACCCTCTTCTTCTTTATACTTTTCAAACATCAATTACAATGAATATCAAATTTTAGGGTTTGATCTATTAATTTGCTCTTGCAATGTATAAATTGGTTTAATGTATTAATGTGTGCGCACGAGGGACTAACAAAATTCCATTTGCCCCACAACCCAACACTTGCCTTTTCTTACATTTCCAACTAACCATTTATAAATACAGTTTCTAAAGACTTTATAATCATGATATATATATATACACAACACACACACACACCCTTTTAAGACACGATTAAGGAGACATAATATATTGATTTTTGTTGAATAAATATTACTAAAAATAATTCTATTACCAAAACTTGTAGCATTAATTCCAAAGAGAGGGGAAAAAAGAAAAGAAAAGGGTATGAATGTTCAATGAAGAAGTTTGGTACATGAATAAATAAAATACATATACGTATACACAAGCTCAAAACAATAAATTCAGTGCATGAATGTGAATTTATTGAGTTGCCATGTTTCTAACGTACGTTTTTCAGTGCTTGATTATAGAATTTACACGTGTGTGTGTGTGTGTGTATATATATTAAATAACTAAGAATTTCATCTTAATCATGTGTATATATTGGGTTTGTGTGGGTGGTGGAGAGTCACAGATACGGGTAGAATCTAATTAAAAGCTTATTTGTCATGATTGATTGTGAGAATACAAATACAAAACAATAACATACATACATATATATATATATATGTGCGTGTATGTGTGTGTGCGTGTGTGTCTGCTTCTTCTTTGTGGGGGGGGGGGGTGGGTGTATATGTATATATAGGAAGACAAGTTGCGCACTAAGAATAAGAGGGCAGTCAATGTTTGAAAGAGGAATGTCCTTATTTGTGAAGGAATCACTGTCTTGTCAAATTCAATGTAGAAAAATTATATACGCAAAGAATTTGAATGTATGTAATTAACAAAACAAATGAAGATAATTATATATATATATATAAAT